CAATAAGTTGCTCTCAGGCCCAGGCTGCACTTGAAAAAGTGATGCCTTGTTAAATAACTGTAAAATAAATCTACCAGTCGCATCGCCTCCTCCTCTCAGGATGTTTTTAGTCAGCAAACATTCTTCTGCAGGTTTTTTTTTTTCAGGCAGCTGATTCCAAAACTTCAAAAAATATCAGCTTCAATAGCTTGATATTCTTTTTCAAACTTGTTCTGACAAATACAGTTTATTCATTTTAATGAGCAGCGCTCACAAACTTTTCTCTCTACCAGACATGTTGGCAACTATCAGTCTGTCATCAAGAGACACACCCCTAAACCACCAATACACGTTTTATTGGTCTGACCATGTGAGCCCACGTGGGTTAATATTAGATTAGATCAGTCAGCAGCCACAAATATGCATCTATAATGGTTGACAGAAAACCTGAGAAGTTATAAAATGATGTACCGGTATTTTTTCAGCTCATTATGTGACCTCAAAGCAAATGGCCCCCCCAACGCTGTAGGCCCCTGGGCTTCAGCCCAGGTAAGCCCGTGCATTAAGGCAGCCAGAAATACAGTATGTTGTACAAATGTTTTTACTCCTACAGAAACTGTAATATTTATTATTTGCTCATATCTGATTCATAATTTGTAATTCATACTTTCTTGACCAGAACCTCAGGATATCCATGAGATTTGGAATTTCCTTTTTTAACATCTGGTTAGAGAAAAAGCAAACCCACTTTTCCCATGTCTCTATATTTTTCTTTTTCCTTTTTCTATTTCTAAACTGGTGGTGTTATTGATCTTGGCTTACTGTTAAAACCCAATTCCGCCATTAGTTGGTCTGAGCCTGAGGTCTACTCTGAACCATGAATAGATCCCTGTGTTGTTGGTGTGGGTTTTGGACCTTTCCATCACCAACTGGGTTTTGAGGTGACACCTTCATTCACCACCCAAGATCTGAGCTGTGTTTAATAAAAACCTTACAGTGATACTATCAGGAGTTTAGTTTCAGACACTGTGTGGACCATTTGAGACTAGAACTTAGATAAAAAGTGATGCACACACAAACGTATGTCATTCACTTACTCTACAATGCAATAAACATTGTATTTATTAGCAACATTTAAATGTGGAACACTGACTTTTAGAACGAGAGGGGAAGTTTTTGTTTTGCAGCAATGCTGTTAACAGAAGGGCACACATCACACCAGTTTGATCTTCTTTACATTGGCTACCTGTCAAATTCAGAATTGATTTTAGAATAGTAGTTTTGACTTTTAAGCCCTTAATGGACAGGCCCCTCAGTATATTATCAAAATGCTGACTCCCTACTCTTCTGGCTGAAATCTTCAATCTGCAGGCCAAAATCTTCTAAAGGTTCTTAAAACTAGATTTAAAACTCGAGGGGACCTGTCCTTTCAGGCTAAAGCTCCTAGATTGTGGACCGCCCTGCCCTCGTGTCTCAGGGAGGCTGATTTTGTTGATTTCTTTAAGAAGCAGCTTAAGCTTTTAACTAAAGGTTTATTGAACACTTTTATGGTTTATTGAATGTTTTATCTCTGTTCCTTGTGAACCACTTTGTGATGTTTATCTGTGACTGAGCATAAGAACCTCATGTTCTTTGTATATAAAGAACTTCACCAGAGGCATGACATTCTTTCATACCTTCATTTTAAAAATAAGCTTTAAATCTACTTAATATTAAGTCTGTGAACCACAAGAATGAATTAATGTTAATCTGAAGCAGAGTAGGTCATTTAAACAGGCTGTTTTATGGTTTGTTCAACATGTTTTGCTATTTGACAGATTAATTTGTGCATACTACACTCAAATAAAAAATATGTTTATTATATTCTCCAAGTGTTTTAAATATAATTTGTGGACATGCTTTATTTTGTGTTTTCATATTAAACGGTGAGCAACAGTGGTTAGAGCACTCCTGGGCCTGTATTTCTCAAACTTCTTACAGTGGAATTTCAGACCTAAGTGCTGAGAATTTCATAGATTTGCTCCTACTTTCAGACTTAAGTGTAAATGCCAATTATCAAAACTCTTAAGAAACAAGAATCACTCACTCTCCCAGCAGCAAAGTGTTATAAATCAGCTCTAAGATCTAATCCTAAACTTTAAAAGTGGGTCTGAGATGCTTAATAACTGACTTTTTAAGCTCAGCTTTTAGCTAAGAATTTTTTATACTTAAGTCCATTTTTAAGAGCATTCTTAAGAGTATTTCTAATACGTTTGATAAATAAAGACCCTGGTTTTTCTGTGTAGGTTTTCTCCACGGACTCACAGATCAAAAATATGCATGTTAGGTTATTTTATAACTTTTAATCTTCGTTATAATGACTGTTTCTTGACTTTTTTCTGCTTGGCCTTCAGAGGAGCAGGACGTGCTTTTGCTCCACCCCCCCACCCCCCCGCTTTGCTGCATTTTAGCTTTTTTTCCACGTATCATCTATCATCCACCTATCACCTAAAGGAATTATGGATTTGGTCAATTGGTTTCTGAATGCAGTTGACACTATTTTTTCCACACTTGGAACGAGGGGAACGTGGCTGTCTGGGTGGAACGGTTGCTGCTGGACGTGTCAGTGATTCCTGGGGCTGGAATCTGATATGCCGGCACCACTTTCCATTGAAGATGTGGAAGATATATATGTATATATACAGTATATTTAGATTTATGATAACTTGATTCCTGCTGATCGGCAGAGGAGGGTTCCAGATTTATTGAAAAGTGAAAGTGACCCTGACAGCGGGTTCGGGCCTTTGAGAAGCTGTCAGGCGCACTTGAAGGATTCTGCCGGGCTGGTATCACACAGACCCTCAGCTGGGGGAAATAATTCGCAAACTGGATGTGATTCTGATGGTCACAGCTCAGGAGCAAGCCTCTGGCATGTAAGGATTACATCTGGGTGAAGCTTCAGACGGTGAGAGGCAAGGAAGACCCCAAATTCGATGTTTTTTTTTTGCCACTTCAGAGATGTAATTAAGACATTTTAAAAGCAGCAGGAATTTCAAGGCTGCTTTGTTCCAAAACAATCAGATTATCTTTTTTTGGCTCCCGGCGGCACGGCCTTGATGGCAGTGTTTATCTGAATCTCCCCAGGATGGAATGTCAACAAAGGCTTGATTCCCTCCCACCCCCATCACCCGTGTTGGACCCGGTCCCGGAAGCTGAAGGCTGAGGAGGAGAAAACTCTGAACTCTAGTGAACTGAGCAGAGACAATAACATCATGTGACTCTGGACTCTGGAGGGGGCCAAGGTTGGGTGCTAGCACAGACCCCCCCCCCTCCCTCAACGTCACCTACTCCTCTGAACCTGCCCCATCTTACTTGCCCTTTATATGTTATCTGACCTAAGGCCCCACCCACCCAGGTTACCTGCTCCTCCGTGAGTTTTTAAACTCAAGTTTCCTTTTTTGTATTTCCAGCTGTTAAAGGTAGCACAACTCTGTTGCTACAGGACCGGTTTCAACTGTTCCCCCATGTTTGTCATGTGTGTCTTCTTGAATGGTTGTTTCTTAACTGACTGCCCCCCCTTCCCTGATTGTACAGCACCTTGTGAATATATTTCTATGAACGGTGCTATGTAAATAAAACTTTACTTAAGTGATTACTAGATAGATGGATAGATAGATGGATAGATAGATGGATAGATAGATGGATAGATAGATAGATAGATAGATAGATAG